TCCGTGCTTCTGTCCGACAGTCTGTCTGTCTATCCGTCTGTCCTCCTGCGCGTCCATCGGTACATGCTTCTGTCTGTCCATCCATCCGTGCTATCGTCCGTACGTTCATGAGTCCGTCCACGCATCCGTGTTTGTTTCGATTCGTCCGTCTGTGCGTCTGTCTATCTGTGCTATAGCCAACTCGCGGAGAGCAGCTGACGGAAGAACAGCACACTTGATACCGTGGAAAAAACACTGGCCTTTATTTCCTACGCACTCATCTTTTATAGCAACCTGGTGCTGACGTAACACGATGCATATCACATATCACACATCACATATCAGCACGTGTTGCGGTGGCTATTATGTTACACTCTTCCCCACCAACAAACAAAACAACGATAGTTTAGCGGCCTTCGTGGTCAGAAACGCACAACTGGTTTTTTTGTCCTCGTGCTTCTTCGCAGCATTGGCGTACTGTCATGGCTAGTAGGCACAACCAGATCGCGTGTTGCGGTCCCACTTTCGCTGCATGATTCAGGACACGGCTCAGCAACTGGACTCGATTGCTCTGACTCACACTTCCTGGGTAGCGGAACTAGTTTCTCCGCCGGTTGCACACCCGCTCGTTCCGACACGCACTCCGTGGTTGACGTAGCTTGTTGCACAGGCGGCAACACTGGCGTCGGTGAAGAAGTCTGTCGCTCAGGCGGCAGTCCAGGAGGCGCACTAAATGGGGCGAAGTTCGGCCGCAGGTGTTCTTGATGGCGCCGCGCACACCTACCGTCTGACAAAACGACATCAGCGATGTTATCGGTGGCTCTGTCAGCCACTCTTGCGGGCATCCAGGTTGGCCCCGAACGGAAATTCCGTGCGTAGATGTAGTCTCCGGGTCTTGCGGGTGGTGTGGTTCGAGCTCCACTACCATGGACAATCTTCTGCTTGAGCTGCTTCAGCAAGACCTTAGCTTTCATGTCTGGATGCAACAACGTTAGAGCAGTCTTTAACTTACGGCCCATGATCAGCTCCGCTGGTGAGCACCCGGTAGTTTCGTGGAGAGTAATCCTGTAATTGAAAAGAATACGGGCAAGTGGGCATGAAAAATTCCCTCCAGCCGATTTCTTTAGCTTTGACTTGATGCACTGAACTGCCCGTTCTGCAGCCCCGTTTGACGCTGGATGGTATGGGGGTGTCAATACTTGTTTGGTGCCATTTCGATGCAGGAACAGTTTGAATTCCTCGCTCACGAACGCTGGTCCGTTGTCGGACCAGCGTTCGGCAATCCGTCTGGCAATCCGTGAGTAGCAAACATAACCCTCCGGCATGGGATAGTTGCCTCTGCCGATGGTGTAGATATAGGAACGGCCTCTATCCACTTTGAAAATGCACCGATAACGATCAGCAAGTAGCGGTTCTTCAAAGCTCCAGCAAAGTCAATATGAAGGCGAGACCATGGTCTGTCCGGAAACGGCCATGGCGTCATCGCTACCGGCCGCGCAACCCTCTGGTGTTCTTGGTAGATCTGACACTGGCGAACTGCAGCGGTAATGTCCTCGTCCAACGAAGACCACCAGACGTGACTCCTGGCGATAGCCTTCATCTTGGTCATTCCAGGGTGCCCCTCATAACACGATGCATATCACATATCACACATCACATATCAGCACGTGTTGCGGTGGGTATTATATTACAATCTGTCCGTCCATACTTGTGTCCGGGCTTCCGGACGCTGGAAGGACGAACGAACGCTTTGCCCCACTCATCATCATTTAACTCCATAGATATGTTGTTATTTATTTTTGTTATGGATAAATGTATGCTATAAGAAACGCTGACGCTTTCGTAAAGTCGCCACTTGACAGTGTGTTCATGTGCTTAGGAAATTGCACTCACCTCTAAAGGAAGTGACATAAAGAAAGCGACAGATTCTCAATAAAGAAGGATGTAATATTGAGAGACACGATCTCTCCAATTCTATTCACCGCGTGTTAGGAGGAAGTTTTCAGGACCCTAGATTGGGAAGAGCTAGGAATAAGTGTTAATGGGGAGTATCTTAGTAACCTGCCATTCGCTGATGACATTGCCTTGATTAGTAACTGAGGGTATGAATTACAGCTCATGATTATAGAATTAGACACGGAAAGCAGAAAAGTAGGGCTGTGAAAACTAATACGCTCAAAACTAAAGTTATGTGCAACAATCTCGGCAGAAAACAGCACTTTGTGATACGTGGAGAGACGATTGATTGATTGATATATGGGGTTTAACGTCCCCAAACCACTATATGATTATGAGAGACGCCGTAGTGGAGGGCTCCGGAAATTTAGACCACCTGGGGTTCTTTAACGTGCACCCAAATCTGAGCACGCGGGCCTACAACATTTCCGCCTCCATCGGAAATGCAGCCGCCGCAGCCGGGATTCGAACCCGCGACCTGCGGGACGTGGAGAGACGCTGGAAGTTGTAATGGAATATGTCTACTTAGGAGACGTGGTAACCGCGGAGCTGAACCATGCGAGTTAATTACCTAGAATGATAAGGATTGGGTGGATCTCACTCAAATCATGATCTCAAATCATGAATCGTGATCTGCCGATAAGACTCAAGAGGAAAGTATATAACAGCTGCAGTATATAATAGCTGAAAGTATATATAGGGAGCAGAAACGTGGAGGCTTACAAACAGGGTTCACAATGAATTGAGGATGACGCAGTGAGCAATAGAAAGGAAAATGATAAGTGTAACCTCAAGAGACAAGAAGAGTGCCGAGTGGGTCAGGGAACAAACTGGGGTTAAGGATATCATAGTTTAAATAAGGAAGAAGAAATGGGCATAGGCTGGGCATGCACCGCGTAGGCAGGATAACCGCTGGTCATTAAGGGTAACCGACTGGATTCCCAGAGAATGCGAACGCACGAAAGGAAATTAGAAAGTTCAGTGAGCCGAGGAGATATAAAAGTTTGCAGGTATAGCGTGGCAACGAAAAGCACGAGACCTATTTGATTAGCGAATCATGGGAGGAGCCTTTGCCCTGCAGTGGGCGTAGTCAAGCTGATGATGATGAAGACAAATGCACCATATACGATAGACGCATTGAAATTAGGCGTTGAAGGAACTGATCGTGGATTGCACGGTCGTGATGCATTATTACCCTTTACCAAGAGTACTATGAGAGGGCAGTGGTAGATTGAAAGTGTGTGTTTTTAAAGTTTACAAAGTATGTGACCGGAGTGCAGAGAATATCATGCCCAGCAGCTGTTGTCGCCGACTGAGAGGTCGTAAGTTCGATTCCCGTTGACTAAACTTTTGTCTTCTAATCGTACTATTTTTAGAACGCCATTTGCGTCACGGACGTACGTTCACTGAAGTATTGGCGGATCCCGGCATAAAACATCTTCGTGCTAAAAGCGCAGAGGGTAAAGTACAGCACATTCATGTATGGCGTTGCATAGCAACGCCGTGAGTAGGATAGACTAGCAAGCGGGTGGAAGGAAACTAAAGCAGAGGAGGAGAGAGATGTGGGTGAACACGAAAAAAAAAGGAGGAAAGGCCGGGATGGCACTTTGACGCAAATGAATGTTTCCCTTCCCATATTTCTCTTCCAGATACCGAGGAGGCTGCCCGTTTCGAAAGCTAGCGCCTGCTTGCCCGTTAACGGGAGCTTCCTTAAAGGGACACTGAAGGCAAACATTAAGTCGATTCTCATTGCTGAAATAGCCATCCAGAAACCTCGTAGTGCTACTTTTGTGCCAAGCAAGCACTTATTTCAAAATAAAATCACGTTTTATTGGTCCGCATCGCGTTAGCACACTTCAAGTTACCCGCCTTAAGTGTAATACTACACGTACCACAGTTGTTATGTATAACGTTGTCCGGCTTTACTGCACGGCCGGCGACGCTAATAGCAGCAAGCTGAAAGTAGCGGGAGCTACAGCAGCAACAACGGCCATTGAACAATTCCCTGGCATGGCCTCCTAAATAGCAGGCGTGCTTGGTTAAACTCGGCCCCGCTAAATGGCACGACCTGTCCAGTTTAAACAGGCGAAAATTGAAGTTCTGAACCACTAGCGCCATTCCATGTAGTAACTTCCGGCGGTTCTTTTCTCCCTGAATCAAACAGAAACGAACAAGCTGCATTTTATTACATCTCTCAATTCGCGGAAGGTTTTTATATAGTAGGGCTATTTTGAGTACGAGTGATTATTTGAAGGCGGTAAGTATGACGTTATTGGGATCATTTGGCGAATAGCCTACTCGTGGCGCATGTGTTCTCATGCATTGACGTTAATTTCTCGGTATGTATGGAACTGCTGTTGATATTATCTTCGTTTTAGACGTTGTCATACATTGAGATTTCACTCTGACGTAAGTTCTTATTTAACTATTGTGTGTCTTTAAGGGCTACCCACTTCATTCAGCTGCTACATGCAGTGACACTGCATACATTTCTTTGATACTAAACGACACGATTGGTGAGTGCTTTCTTAGTAGCCGCTAGCAAACTGAATGTTCCCCGAACAGAGCCTCGGCATCACCAGTGCTAGAATCCGGCTGCGCTTAAATTTCGCGTTAAGCACTTTCATGATAATGAGTTAACCTGTTTTAAATCACAGATTTTCCTAATTTACGTCTATTTGTTGTAGGCTTAACCCGACTTCGGCACGTCACCATCTAAGCTTTTTCTGTAATGTGGAGGGGATATAGATAAGTTGTTCAAAACTAATGCTCAGCTAAGCACGCTTTCGCCTCGGTGACAGGACACATTGCCGTTTGATACATTAACATTTTTCAGGATAGCAGTGCGCTATGCATTACGGTGCGTTATGTACGAGGTTGTTTGGTTTTCGTCATCATGGCGCTTCCAGAAGGGTCATGCAATACGTAAATATATTCATTGCACTTGCAGGCTGCATGCGGTTTACCGGAGCCGACTGAAATATATTCGTTTTCTATTTCTCACGTGATTCGCGATACAGAAACTCGGTTCAAAGATGATGGAATTAAAAATGTCTTACCTTTTATTTTTGGGGACAAGAATTGAAAATATTCAGCTTCTCCGAATAAACTGAAAATGTAAAATGTAGAATGAGGTTATAGACAGCGCAAGCACGAAAAGTTATCATTGTTTCTCCTGAAAGGTAACTGAGTGGTAGCAGTAACATGTAGTGAAAGTACGCTATGTATAATTTCTAGTTCTATTCAAAACACCCTTGAAAGTAGATGCACCCAATTACTTAAATACCTTATTAAAGCGTCCCAGGCACAGGAATAATAAACTTTTGTGTGTGTGTGTGTGTGTGTGTGTGTGTGTGTGTGTGTGTGTGTGTGTGTGTGTGTGTGTGTGTGTGTGTGTGTGTGTGTGTGTGTGTGTGTGTGTGTGTGTGTGTGTGTGTGTGTGTGTGTGTGTGTGTGTGTGTGTGTGTGTGTGTGTGTGTGTGTGTGTGTTTAAATGGACTCCAAGAGCCATAACTAACTCCGCGATTTTACCTGAGCAAGTGCAGCAGCTGGAAGCTGGATACTAGTAAGAATTGCCACTTTGATTCTAACATTCGCACACAAGTCTCGAGTGAACACCTAACATCATTTAATTGGTCCAATCGCCGCAGGTGAAAGAAAACATGGCGAGATTGCACGCATGAGGAATGCCCAAGCTGTAGCATTTAGCACTGAGTGGTTTAGTCAAATGATATTGAAAGCTGTGTAGTGGATGAGGAGGGGTTCTATCATTATCGAGATTGGGCTAGTGCGTTCGGTTAAAGGGGTTTTCTTTGCGGAGCTTCATCATAAGGAGGGTAGCTCGTATCTTTTTTTTGCATTTTCGTGCCATGAAACGTAAAAGAAAGGGCATAAGGTGAAAATGAAGGGCATTTTTTAATTCTCTACTACATCTGAAGCCTGAAGAAATTTCATGATACTGCCATTGGCTAAAGCTGATGCATGTGCTTGAATTATCCTCCTGATCCAGATCGCGAAGTTTCATATTTGGGCAACGCACGAACTTCATTGAACGAAAGTTTTGTTACGTCTCAACGCGGATGCCTAGTTTTCCTCTAGGCACTGGCGGCCAGTGGCTTCCTGATATATCCACACTGGAGCGGATCATGAAGCCCGTATTTGAGAGGTCGAGTAACGAATGCAGAGCCATCCCGTGAGTCCTCACCATATTGGAGTCTCTTGTATTTGGGGTGCCCATCAGTACATGAGTTGTCCGCTATTCAAAGAATTTCGATGCACAAGTAAGGCTTCAAAAAAGATCAGTAAGGAAGTAGATGACACAGCTGACGTAGATCACTTGTAAGCTGATTTTTTGAAAGCAGACGTTTATGTCTATTAGACTATTCGAGCAAACGTCTCAGCAGAATATATAGTAACACACACCCCAGTCACTCAATAGGCTAGCTTAGAGTTAATGAGGTAACGAATAGAATAGCAAAATTAAAAATACCTTTTCTGTCTATGTCATCAGCATGCACTCAATGGGCCTACAGTTTCGATCACGTAGTACACGAGCTAGATGAGTAGGTCTCAGGAAAAGAAGTTGAGAATACTAGAAGAATTATAATTAACTTCTAAACTGCATAAATGACAATCCAAAAAAGTAATACCAAAAGGAACTGCAACATTTAGAAACTTCGACCACACGTTTATAGCTCTCCTAAGTTTTCAGTATCCACGACTCTAACGGCAAAGTAAATACAACAGGTCAAGTGTGCGCAATGAAAAATATTTCTAGAATTGAAAAGCTCAAAGCTTTTTAGAATTCCAAATGAAGTTCACTGATAGTAAAGATTAGTTCATGTCAGAATTGATGGATTAACGTGGTATACTGCCCACCTATAGTCTTTGGTACAAGCGCCTGGCAGAAGCAAATCAAGGATGTTTTATTAAACGAAAATTCATATACGGAAGACCACAAGAAAACAAAGACTGCACCATGTATGGCTAATGTTCTTGGAATGGCGAACTCAAAGCTTGGTAGCAAATGTGGCACGAGTTTCAACAAACAGAAAAAAACACTGGTGACCTGGCCTGTCTTTATGCACACTCCTTTAAACTATAGCATGGCAAGGGTGCACCCAAATTCCAACCCTGTTGCCTCTTCTGGGCTCCGACCAGCTCACACCCGTAAGCACTTGGGACAGACTTCAATAACGTGGAGTTTGCCCAACTATGTCTCTTTAACTCATCCAGAAATTCGGAAATGTTATCGCTGGTAAATGTCGTCCCGTGTGTTCCGTTGAGTATGCATGCGGAGCGAATGTCAAAGATGTGGACAAAATTCTCAAAGCAGCCAGCTTACGTTCTGGGTAGCAAGAAAATTGCGTACTATATCTAGCTTCAAACTGTCATCGACGACAATCGAAATTTCTTACTTTTCTGAAGTAACACGATATCGTGTCGAGGCTTCGAAGTCGTATCTCTTTTCATGAGACGCTTCGAAGGTTACCGTTTGTACCGAAGTATTCCAAGACGATATCCGCAAATCATGAAGAGCGCTCTTGCACACAGAAGATGCCTAAAGAAGAAACGAAAGTACATGAAGAGACCATTTGTTTACATTCCTCTACGTATTCAATAGCCGTAGGAGACAAGGAGCTGCGTTTATACTGCACTTTCATTTCACTGTCCATGACTAGTGTCAGTATCCACTGCTACGTAATCGCATAGATTCCTCGTGACATGATTATATTGAACAACCTCCTAGTGTGTTGAGAGAAATATATTATAGAGAAAATGTGGTTACGCGAAGAGACGCCGATGAGAGGCCGCACAAAAGCGTATTCACAGGGGACCATTCAGGCACTTCACCCTGAGACAACAACATGAAATTTTCCAAATCACCGTCATCTTCAACGTAGTTCTCATTTCGTGGCGTTCCGTAAGAATAGTTTACTTTTATTTTGTTTCTGCCTCTGAATCATGCTCAACATAAAAAAAACGTTTCAATACTTTTTGTTGTGGAAACAAATTGATTTTTATTACTCTCTGAGCATATTGGAAAATGAGAACTTGAGGGAGCCTCGGCGAGGAACTCAGAAAGAATTAGTATTCATCAAAACCTTAGTCATCGTTGGAGTGAATGAGCGAATGGAACAACTCTATTTGGACCACAACAGGAGCAAGTCAAGTCAGCGTCACCTGGCAAGGCCCACTAGGAAACCTAGTCACTCTCGCGCGGGTCCTCTCAACGGCCAGCATCTAAGAGAACAACTCTTGGCTTCAAAATACAATGAACAGGATGGCATAGGCAACGATGTAAAAAAATGCAAACTCTGAGTCTTGCTTGCATTATTGAAGCCACACTTTTTTGCTGGACAATTCTAGTAAGGCTGGACTGCTTAACAAGGAGATAGATAAGCTGAGAACATTTTAAAATAATGGAGCAGCCATTGCTTAAGCATAAGAGAGATATTGAATTGAAGTTTATTTGTCCTGAAATTCTTACAGGATCGGGAGCAGAGGCTAAAGGCTATATAGCCTGACATGGGGCCTCTGCTCCTAAATACAGTTTGGCACACAGGCCGCTCAATCTGTCACATATGTTTTCAGAAATAAATATATAACCCAACAAATACCACACAGAAATAAATAGAAACAAATAAACAAGAAACAAGAAACAAATAAACCATAACACTACAAAACTTAGCATGGTCTTGTTACACAATTTTAGAAAAAACATTAGAAAATCACTATCGTTATTATTGTTGATGTTTGACCTATAATTATAGGCCTAAGGAACAATATCAAATCTGTGGATCATTTGAGCAAGCGCATTTTTGTCGCCTCAATAAAGGCATTGACAGTGGGCTGAGCAGTACGGTATCACTAAGTGCGCAAAAAATGATTTGAACAGTTTTCTACGAAATCACTTTAACCAAAAGGGCCTGTTTGGTCCCGGTGTTTATATTATTTCCCTAAAAGAAAATGAGATGGCTTTTTCAGCGCTAAATCTGAGCACTTGATGGGACTGGTGATTAACTATTGCATAATATGTAGGAGTATAGCAACCAAATAACTTACGAACAAATATATAAAAGTGAGTACAACTACAGCCATTTTTTTTTCATGCGGACGTCATGCTAGCCACACTTTATGACCAGTTTGGTATCACTCTGCAGTGATGCCTGTAAATAAGAAATATTTGAACGTTTTTGGCGTATGCGTTTGTCACCTACCGTAGTGTAGTGGAAGGTCCCATAGACATGCGTGTCAGTGCTCGTAAGACATGATGAGTTGCAGTGCACACTGTAAAAAATACATGGGAAAACTTATAAGAACGGTGCCCCCAGGTAAAATGCACAGGCATTACCGATAGAGCCTACTGGAGGACGACGACCGTGGTATAGTTTGAAAGCTGCAGCATCGGACTCGTTATTCAGTGGTTCCAGGTTTGCTCGCTGCCGGCGCCAAGTTGTATTTCGTTAACTTTAATATTTTCCCATTTGTGATAATATATCTAGAAATATCGTTGAACATTTTTCTTTGTTGGCTCGATTGTCACTTGGTTGTCATTATGTTTTTGAGACGCCAGTATAATTCATAGCAGCAGATAACTACTTGGTGAAAAGTTAGAGGCCCTATGTAAATGTTTTTGCGGCAATGGGGCTTATATTTTTAGGCGAAGGGAGAAAAGTGATGTACACGTAAACTTTGAACAGCGTCGTGCACACGCTATCAAAGAAGCGATGAAATGGTGTTTTACATTGTACGATGTACTCCCCATCCAAGCGTTTTTTCACATTAACTGGTGTTCTGCTTGACGCGTGTAACCCCAATTGGTGGCTGTGTGAACAAGTCATATCGATCGCAGATATCCGACATATACTTATTTCAAAGAAAGCAGAATTAGGTGATCTTTTCCATGCTTCTTTATTTTCAAAAATGAGCAAACACTAAACTAAGCGTGCATACGATGTTGCACAAAGAACGATATCCAAACAAGCGACCCTGATAATTAGTTTAGGTGTGTCCGCTCTCGTGAACACTGAATTCCCGTATGAGTTCGAGGTGGGTTTTTTTTTCTCTTGTTGGGACTTCACAATCAGCCGGCCTGCCCGCTTGCTTGCCCGCCGAGAAGCCAGCTATGCCTTGATGCTCTGGATATCGCCTCTTTAACTTGGTATATGTATGATTGTGGAAGCGCAAGAGGATTTAAAATGTAATATATAGATATTACTGTCTGATCCTGAAAGCTTGCCTCAAAGGACCTGGACCAACAACGACGTCTCATAGCCAGGACCAAGCAGGCAGCGAAGGCAAGATGGTTTTTGGAATGAGGAGACTTCCAACCTAGAGCAGAAGTGGAACCTGCACCACTATACCATTTCAAAAAACAAATGTTTATTCCTCCTCCTGTCTGGTACTGACATGAATGAAGTGAAAATCATGCCTCGTGCGTCGTAAAACGCATTTCTGTGTTCAGACTTGTGGAGAACATATATCCACACACCGGTAGCCAGGGTATACGGTACTGTACTAATAGGAAAAAATAATTTCGCTCTTTAGTGTCCCTTTACGCTAACCACTGCATGTCAGCTGAAACTCTGGCCCCGTCACTTTAAGGCCGCTGTGAATGTGACGTTCCACCTCACGGTGCTCAGCAGTGTATATGTACCGCGCAATTTGCTGATGTGTCGCAGCTCACGGAATATGTGCGAATGTAATTCGGACAGCAATTCGACACTCACGTGCAGGGCTTCCCGTAGACGCAAGTACCGTTCAATAAGTCGTCAGCCGTGGTCCGGCAGTCTATAGTTGTCCTTCTTGAGCCTGCGAGTATATCAAAAGTCAATACCGATGTTTCCGATGCTTCAACGTGGTTCATTTGAAGCGAGCAACAAAGAAGTTTCACGTGCCACATTAATGCCCCCGGTCATTATTGATCCACCGTGCCGTCTGAGCTGGATCTCGGCTGTTTTGAAATAGTGCCACATGTGCGCAACCACCCACAAGTGAAGCTCAGAAGAACGTGATTACTCCTTTCGCACCTACCATAGTTCTAGAATTGGAATGCATACCGGCCTCTATTCCACCATGTACACATTGGTGTATTTCTCAAAAAATAGTGAGATAACTTGACCACCATCGGAAGTTCACTGTATGGCAGATGATAGTTAATTATTCATTTTTGTTGCGTAAAAGCGTCTTCTCGAAGTAGGTGTATGCAGATGCTTGCACAATACACCATGTGCAAGTTAATCAGTTTCGCTTGTTATTTTTCTTAAAAGGTCCCAATAATACTTCTTTAAAAGGCCAGTAAACAGGCTCCGACTTTTTTTTACACCCCCCCCCCCCCCATACAAGCTCGGCAATTCGTAAGTTAGACGGCAGCGATCACGTTTTCTGAATATTACAGCGCTGCGCGCCGCGCAGAGCCTCTATTTCGCAAAAACAATACCCGCGCATCTTTCCTACGCCCGACTGACCCTCTTGCACGTGCAGTGACGTCAACTCAGCGATTGGCAACGTGACGTAGCACGCAGCTCGCCGATTGGTCTAAGTCAGGTGTGAAAAAACAGTAGTGAAGTCAGCGTCAGTTCTGTTCTCCCCCCAGCTACGAAATTGCCCCTTGTTTGTTGCCACTGTGATGAAAGAACCAGGCTCGCAGTTGTGGCCTGCAAGTGTACACTCCTCGCTCAACTACAGCGCGTGTGCACACGTACGAATGTACTTCGCCCTTGACTTGAGCAACATGGGTAAAAAGCGTTGCTCTGTCGTCGGCTGCAAATCGAGCGACTAGGGCAGCGGAGAAGTAGCGGCACCGGGTGCCTCACGATGGGGTCCTGCGCGCTGAATGGCGGAAGAAAATCACCGATGACGTCAATCGCTGACGTGTGTCACGTTGCCGAAGTGGGCGGAGTCACGACGATGGGCTACGCCTTGCCCTTCATGAAAGAGAGATAGAGGGCGAGGCCGCGCGAAAATTTGAAACCAGCTTATACCGATGCTCTAATTCCTGTAACTTCCTTAATATAGCACGTATTCGCAAAACTTTTGCGGCAGCATGTTCGCTAAGAAAAACAGCACATATCTCTCTTTTAAAAAAATATTTGACCTCAGGGCTGTTTACTGGCCAGAAACACTTCCGCTCAGTAGTCGAGGCTGCGATCAGACAGCGGGAGAAATTGCGAAACCGTGCGGCTTCGCTAGTGCACCACCCGTAACGCCAAAATCATGAGCTCTGAGTTTGCGTGACGGCAGCGTTTTTCTACGAGCGTCTCACTCACCATGTGTTCCAGTAAAAAAAAAAAAATGTAATGAGCCTCGCACACCCGGCAGCCACGACAGGGCGAGTTTACCGAGACGTCCGGCGGCTGCGAAGGTCGCGGTAGAAAGGAAACTAGTATCCTTCCTTATAAGAACCATCCCGAATAATGGGATGGGTTTTGTCACTGAATCATATGGTGTTTGTTTTGTAGCTGATAGTTTTATTATTTACCGCGCGCAGATATTTATGAGGTAAAAAAAAACTCAAGCAAGGGTAACTTATGTGTTATAAGAAGCCAGTTTTCGTGTTATTCTATAATGATTCATGTAAAACTAACCGCACTCATCTTCAAAGTCCAAGAATATTGAAAGAATATTTCAAACATTTGCTATCAAAGTTTCTTATCAAATGTATGTCACTTCCCGAGTTTCGATAGTGTACCTAATGTATTGCAACGTGTGCATAAGGGTTTAATGTTCGAGCCAGCTTCCAGTTTCATTCCACCTCCTTAGTTATATGAGATTGTGTGAAATGTGTACATGCCCTTTCCGCATAAGGCTACGCTCTTTCTTTTGTCTTAAAAAAAACTTGAGGTTCGATAATTTTATGCATAGCTATTGCAAAAATTTACACTGCAAAACCAGAAGTTCTCAAGAACGAGATAATAAGGATGGCTGTTACCTTCATCTTACTTTATTTGAGGCTGCGCCAGCAAATGCATGCAGACAACACATAAGCGCAGAAGGTCAAAAAAATTGTCACAAAGATGTTATCAGTATAGAAAAAAAATTGTCAAGATACAGTGAGCTCTCCATTGCGTGAACTTCGAAAGCTTCAAGAAAATAGTTTCCAAAAGAGAAACTTCATACAACTCAATATTCACTACAATATTGTTACGGTGCATCATCGACAGGAGCAAGCGTGGCACTTTGCGAAGATGAAGAAGACGCCTGTGCGTTAGACGCGTGCGCGACAGGCAACTCAGACATCCCGTGACTGCAAAGAATGGCCCCGGAAAAAGCTACACTACCACTTATTATTTAGCTGATACACTGCAATGATTCAACTTTCAGGAGAATTTCATATAACGATTCCACCTCAGATATTAAACAAATTCTATTATTTCTCTCCTCCCCTCTTTTTTCTTTTTTACATTGCGCCAAAATAATTTCACAGTCAAAACACAGTAATCATATTTCCCTAGTCTTGAAAAACCAAAGGTACTGACTTGCAATAACCACCGGCTTCTTGGCCAATCCCCCTTAGTGGGTGAGAGCCACAAAAGAAAGGAACAAGCAAGCAAGCAAGCAAGCAACTCAGACATCTTGTTCGGCTGCCGATTCTCGGTGGACGCTATCCTATAGGCCTAAACCTCGCCCCGTCACATTTGGTGGACGTGCTGGGTAACCGCCTCACAACGGAACTTCGCAGCGGCCGTCGTTTGAAGGGTCATTCCACAACGATGACGGAGAGTACGGCGTCTGCATCTGCTCCTGGTGTTCCTGCGGTCGGAGATGATGCGGTAACTACATCTCGTTCTGCGACCACAACCTTCGTGCTGGAACCCCCGCGGGATCCTGGTACATTCAGTGGTTCCGGCGATCCAGATGAAGTTGACGTTGAAGATTGGCTGGCAGAGTACGAACGTGTGAGAACTCGATACCGATGGGGCCCCACTCTTATGCTGGTGAACCTGTTATTCTATTTAGGCGAACCGCCAAATCGTGGTATTAGACTCGTGAAACAGAACGTGGGAGTTAAGCAATGTGCAGGGAGAAAATGTTGGACCTGTTCGGAAAGCCAATTGGAAGAAAAATGGCCGCGAACAAAATGCTCGCGTCTCGGGCGCAGACCTCGACCGAGTCTTTATCGTTGTGTCGCAAAGCCAATGCCGAGATGCCGGAGGCCGACAAGGTCGGACATATTCTTAAGGGGATTGCGGATAACGCATTCAACCTCCTCATCTGCAAAAAGTTTTCTACAGTGGATGCCATTATAAAAGAATATCGGCGCTTTGAGCAAGCG